TTATTAACATTATCGTATAAAGATGCGCTCGATGTTGCTGCTGTTATTTTTTCACGGCCCGGTGTCATTTCCATTTCCGTTGATCGTGCCATGGTTCTTGGAAGCGTCGAAGAACCTATTTTAAAAAGAACAAAAAAAAAAAAAATAACAAGAATGTATTTTTAAGCTATAACTTGTTCTTATAGAAAAATATAAATATAAATAATATACAAGTATAATAAAAAATACATATAAAAATTGTACCACAAGAACCTCGATATCTAGCATCTTGACTTCGTAATCTGGCAAATTGTTCAGGAGCCATACACGTACACTGTGGCTCTCTGGATCTGCTGGGTGATGCAGGAGTTGAGACTGGCTTTCGACGAGTCTTGATTTTCTGCTTGTTCGGTGGTTCGAGCTTCAACGAGTAAGAAGAGGACGCTTTCCTTGAAATCTTGAACGATGGTGACTGCATGAAAAATTAAGTAGTGATTGCAAGTGATTTGATCACGATTTTTGTTTTCATGTGTTTCTTTTTATCTTATTTTTGTTTTTTGTTTTTTTTTGTATTGATTTTGTTTTGCTTTGTTTTGTTTTGTTTTGTTGAAAAAGCATTGCGCGTTGTTCATCCAATTGCAACGTTTAAACGTTGATAAGCAATCACACTTAAAATAAAGATAATGTGTTCTACTTTCTCTTGCGAAAAAGTTGTTCATAATATTCAAATGTGAAAATGAAATAAAGCATTTGTTATGAGAATTTGTTTATTATATTATAAACTTACGCAACATTCTCTAAATTGTTTAGCATCTATGGGGGAAGTAAAATTTAAGCCCCATGTATCGTTTGTCATAGTATCCTTCCAATAAACAAAACAATCTGACGCTTGACCAATCCTAGTACCTAAAATATCAGATATTTAATAAGAACATTCTATTATTTATTAATATTATGATATTATAATAATTAATATATATATATATTATTATATATGTAAGGTGTATACATTAACGAGTTTACCTGGTTGTACCAACCGCACGTCTAAAATCTTATCGACCTGACTGTTGTATGCAGTTATGTGAAAAACACATTCAGGTGAATCTTGGATACAAGTGATGTTAACAGGAACTAAATCCTCCGAGATCTGCTGCCATTTAACAGTCCCGGCTCCACTGGCACTCACATGGAATACTTCGGCCCATAGCCTAAAAACTCTTTTTATTAGAAACCTTTTATCTCGATAAATAATATTATTCACATTAATATACACAATGACCGAATATAAATAATAACAAAAGAATTGGAAACAAGAGGAGATAGTATGAATGGTTCGTACAAAACATTTAAAGACATTTAATTATTTATCAATAAGTTTAAGTTTAAATTAAAAAAAAAAAAAAAAAAAAAAAAAAAACAACAAGAAGAAAAATTCATTTTATTTTTATAATATTATCGTTTATCATTTGATATTATTTATTGTAAAAAACAAAAATAAAATATTAATGTTAACTCGTATTATAAAGAATTTTTTGTTACTTTATATTAATTATATTTATATAACATAATTATTTATATATTTTTATTATTATTATTATATATGTAATATTATCAATATATATTTTTATATTTATATTATATTATATTAATACATTTAATATATTATTTATATTAATATTTATACTATATTATTATAATATATATAATATGTAAATAATTATATTATATAATTAAAGATTTTTAATTAATTTGTTATGCGTTTAGAAAAATATGAAATAATATATAAATACAATTGAAAAAAAAAAAGAAAAGTAATTTAATGAACATTTGAAAAAGAAAAACTTTAACTATGGTACTTAAATTGTTTAATATACTAATAGGCGTGGCATGCACATTAAAGTATTTTCAAAAAAACGTGCTTTTGGATAAATTGTATAATAAAATTCTTATTAAATGTTGAAATGATATTATATCTACACAGATGCAACAGATAGACTACATATTTATTTCTTTTTTGATTCATATGTTATCAACGAGTTTCAATGAACGAGTATACATGAATAAAAAAAAAAAAGCCCCAAAAATAACAAAAAACAAAAAAAAGAAAATATATCAACGTGATGTATATAAAATAATTCACGAATTTTATAATATACAACGATAATGTTTATTAATTAAAGGTGCATCTCTAATTAAACTACATGATACTTTTTTTTTCTATTTATATGTAAATCTAAATAACGTATAAAGCGCAAGTGTGTATAGATGAAAATGGAAAAGGATTTACCCATGTGCGTAACGTTGTGTGTGTGTGTGTGTGTGTAATCTTAATGAAAAAATATTCAATTCAATACAATATAATTGTTTATTTAAAATTGTAATAATAAAATGATGAAGAAGTTCAAAAAAAAAAATAAATAAATTAATTAAGAAAAAACATACTACTACTACTACTACGATTAATATAATCGATGATAAAAAAGTGATTATTGCTTAAAAAAAAGTGAATGTTTCAATATGATATTATATTATTCGATAGAGAAGGACAAAAAGACGTATTGGAAAAAGAAAATATGGGAAAAAAAGAGACCATATATGACCACAGTACACGAAATATACTATTGCGTACGCTACCGTTCCATATCTCAGTATAGCCTAAAAGCAAAATAAAAAATCAATAATTCATATACGTATATATACATATACATATATATATATATATATATATATATACATACACATACATATATATACATATATATATATATATATTTATTTTTGATTAATAAATTGATTAAAAAGATTTCTCATGATGGATATCAATGATTTTATAAATTGTTGGAATATACAGACACACACACGCATACACACACATACACACACTCACGCATATTTAATGATACTTAAACAATGGTTGTTGAATTAGGTCTTTTTTGGAATTTTTTTCTTTCTTTTTTTTTTTGTTAAATATATACAAATATAAAATTTATATTATATTTAATAT